CCCTTGACTCCTGGTTCCTCCCACAATCCTTTCCACCTCCCACCCATCTGCCAAAGCCCCAGTCTAGCCAAGAATACAGCTTCTGCTTCCTTCTGACCAACCCATCTCTAAGAAGGTCCCATACAAGGAGTAACAAAATCCCAGGCAGTCCCCTACCCATTGGCTTATTCCCTCTGGAGTGGGGGAAGGGATGTGCCTATAAACATTTAACAACCAGCTGTGCAAAAATATAAAATGTATACAAGTATGACATACTTTTACATTTAGTCTGCATTTTAACATTTTTCTCTATGACTTTCTTAAGTCTAGACAATAAAAAAAAACCAAGCCCTGATTAGTATAATATACTAATAGTATGTATAGTACAGTATAGTATAGTATAATATAAATGCTCACACTGAAAATTTAACACCTTCATCTCACCGGAATGAGGAAAAATGAAGACTTTTCTTACATTCTTAGCCATCACACTCTTCTACTGTCCCATATGTGTACAGGAGTGGAGGAGAAAGAGGGAGAGAGACAGGAGAACAAGAGAGAATCAATAAAGACAACACAACCAATAACTTCATCCTTTGGGTCATTGTGTATAATGTGGGACTCTCCCCAGAGAATTCTAGCTATTACCTGGCTCTTTTAATAAATGCAGCCTCCTACAAAGGTTTCTCTCTCCATTCTCTTTCTAACTTTGTTTCTAAAATATTTTTTAAACAACAGTAATAAAGCAGGTTAGTGATGTGTTCTGGAAAACTGTATAAACACTAAATCATCATTTCCTAGTGATTTACAACATGATTTCAAAGGTACTTTATCTTAATTTCAAGAACACTTGATTTGGAGAAACTGAGTTTGAATAGTGGCATGTCACTTAATGTGTGAACTCAGCCAAGTTACTTGGCCTCTCTGGGCCTCACCAGTGCAACAAGAGATAATTATTCTTCCAGTGCCTACCTCACCCAGGGTAGTTGCAAGGGAAGAAAGCAAACAAAGACAGTTCCTTGTAAATCTTAATGTGCTCCAGTAAAGTGAGTTGTTATTATTTGCCTTACAGTCTAATAGGTATATGTATATATGTGTGTGTGTGTGTGTGTGTGTATTCTCCTCTTCCCCACACTCACACCCTATTTATCCACTGTTCTCAGTTAATCATTTGTAAACCAGCATAAGAATCATAGAATCTTAGAATTAAAAGGGCTTCTTAATTTTTTTTTTATTTCTGAGGTAGCCGATGGTGCAGTGGAGACAATGCTGGGCTTGGAGTGAGGAAGACTAGTTGCTAGTTGTATGACTCTGGGTAAGTCACTTAACCTCCGTTTACCTTAGTTTCCTCAATGGCAAAATGAAAATAACAAGAGCACCTAGCTGCAAGGGGTGCTATAAGGCTCAAATGAAATAACATTTGCAAACCATTTAGTGCAGTGCCTGGGACATAGCAAGCATTATAGAAATGCTTGTTTCATTCCCTTCTCTTTCTTTTTCTACTACCTCAGCAGTCTGGTGGAGCTGAGGGACCCTTTCTCAAAATAATGTTTTAAATGCATAAAATACACAGGATTACAAAAGAAGACAATTATATTGAAATTCAGTCATCAAAATATTTTAAAAAGAAACTTGTGATAAGTCAATATACGTAACAGCAGATCTAATAATTAATGGCAATAAATAACAATGAACAAATAGTCATTTCAAAGTCATGATGAATCTTTTTCAACATATGCAAAAACTATAACGTGACATGAAAATATCTGTGATTTCTCTTGGTGCCAAAGTCACCAACACTGCTCGTACTATTGTGGTACATTCATAATTAAAGGAAATGCTACATTTCAGTTAGAGGTTAGCAAAAATAAACATGTAACTGTTTTCCCATCCAAATTCGTACAATTCCTCCCTCCTCTTGGAGTCTCTCAGAACCTTACGTTAAGAACCTTAAGGCTGACACCCCCTTCCTACCGCAAGCAAAAATCCCTTCAGCACCCCTAACCTGGATAACAACACTTGCTTTGAGTCATGGAGGGGAGGGTGGGTCCTGAGGATTTCTAGCATTCTAGTACAAGGAAATCTAACAACTAGAAACTGATTTCTAGAAGTCTACAAATAATCTGTTGGTAAATCTGGATTTCTTCATTTTTTAATTTTTTGGATTGAACTCAATCATTCTAATTCTAAAATTCCCCACAAAGACACCAAAGGAAGAAAATTTGTGTTTTGTTACTGTTTTTAAATCATTGATTGCTTGGGCTCACACAGTAAACTATGACAAGAGCCCAGGTATTGTCACCTCTACACTACCAGCCTTTTCTGTCTCTTAACTTCCCTGGCTTCCTCAGCTAAAGTCCCACCTTCTACACTTTCCCTTCTACCTTTCCTGGTCCTACTCAATCTTAGTGCCTCCCCACTGAGATGATTTCTAATTTACTCTGTGTATAAATGCTGTTTGTACATTTCTGTTTGGATGTTCTCCCTCCCCCCACCCCACCCCCATCTTAAATTGTGAGCTCTTTTTTTGTTTGTTTGTTTAGTTTTGCTGTTGTTTTTGCCTTTCTTTGTATCCCCGAAGCTTAGTACAATGCCTGGCACACAGTAGTAGGTGCTTAAAATAAATGTTTGTAAACTGACTGACTCTTCTATGCTACCTCACCCACTGAGCAAGTTTTTGAATCTACTATCTCAGCTCCCCAAACACCAATCTGGGGGATTAAGCATGAAGTTCTAGGGACATTGTCCCCTTCCATTTATTCTGATCTCATAAAGTGGTGTCTCCAAATTAAATGTGTCTCAAAACTAGCCTTCTCTCCTCTATTCTTGACCTTTCCACCTGATCCACATAATTGGGGTCAGAGGGGGTCAAGGCCTGGTCTTGTGTCGGAATCCAGGATGAATAAACAGATCTCTGCCCCCACCTCCCTGTATACACACCCACACCATCAGGGGTAATGCAGCATCGGATCAAATAAAGAATCCATTTCAAAGTATTCTTTTCTTCAACTTTGCTGGAAAAAGAAGTCTCATTCTCATTGACAACTATTTTTTCTTCTTTAATCACTACATTGACACTGTATCATTACACTAATCACAGTTGTTTACACAAAATGTTGTGAGAGGCTTAAGAAGTCATTTTTTTCCAAAAGAAGGGAAAAAAAAATTTTTCCCCTGCCCCCACCTCAAACACACACAGATGGTAAGAGTGGTAATCAAATCCAACGTATATTTCATACGCTTCTGTAAAGAGCAATCAAAGAAACAAGAAATTTTCTCCAATCTCTAGGCCTCTTTTTTTTAATCTCTTCTGCCCACCTCTAACTGCACCCTTTTAAAAGAACCTCTTTCCCAGACAATCTACTGCTATTCATCCCACACTCAGTCAGCAACACTGACCTCTGCTTCCTACACAGCTGGATGAAACTCACACTGCTGGGAATATGCCTGGGAATGATGCTGGAGCAGGGAATCTAACAGTTCAGGATTAATCTGAAATTGTCTCAGGGAGTTCTCTAGGCCAGGGACTGGATCAGAAGAGGCTTACTGGGTAGGGGGAGGGAGAAAATGGCTTACGTATTGGAAGAGACAGAAAAGGAGAGATACAGCTCCTACCTACACTATGTGAACGCAAGGCCTGCTTATTCCCCACCCCCAGAGCATCCAGGGCCCTGAAACAGCTGCCTATGGAATGATCCAGGACCAGGAGAGAAAGACACGGCCTCTGCAGATTAGTTCAGGCCCCCAAAGCTAATTTTCCCTTTCCTTTAAGGGCTTCTGGGGCCCCAACTTACAGTTATGTGGTAGCTGTTTCAACCCACCACTCCATTTTCATCAGAGAGCCCAGGGCCTATCCTGGCATTTCTAGCTTACAATTTAAGACTACACTTTCAAAGAATATCCTTTTAATGAGAATTCTAAACCAAACTGTGTTTCAGAGTTGTGGCTGAGGGGGAAGGGCTGCAGTGAGGGACTTCCCCCCCCCTTTCCTAATATATTTTACATTAAATAAATGCCTTCAGATCCATCCATTCCCCTGGGATTCCCCTGTATCCCCTAAGGTGGCAGGGTAGAAGGCAGCCCAGCTACAATCTCAATCCAAATAAATGAGCCAAGAGAGCTTATCAAGGGAAAACACAATGAAGTGTCATTACTTGATAATTCCAGCCTGAGAACTTATGACATTTAAGATACATTCCAAGCAAACTCTTGTTTACCTCCCCAGGAAAATGAATATCTTTTTCCAACAGGGTGTGTTCTAGTAGGACCTTAACTCAGAAAACATAAAGGCAGTTATGGTAAATGAAAAATTCCCAAGAGGGAGATGCTGTTGTGCTACCCCCCACCATATCACTGCCGGTCCCCCTCTCAATACATCCAGGCCCATATATGCAAATTTAAGACAGCCAGTGAAAAAGCACCGGTTTGCTTGTGAAAGGTTGGAGAAATTGGAATCCGGTCAGCACTTCAGGTGACAGCAGCCCTAAACTACAGTGCCATTGACCAAAGCCATCTGACGTGAGATGAATTCATCACCCATGTGTCCCTTCCCGGCCAGAGAGGGCCCCCAGAAAGAATGGAAAGGGCTGCCTAGGAATACCAACCTCTGGCTTCATGCAACAGGAAATCTCTTGATAGAGCTTCGGAGAAAGGACGAAGAAGAACCCCAAAGTTTATCTGGGGCTTCGGTGTTTTATCACCACAGTCGTTGCTACACCCCACACACCACCATACAATCTGTCTGGATTGGCAGTTATAATTGCTTTTCAGTTTAGACTCAGAGGCTTGCCAACTGATTTGGGGGAGAAAGTAGGGGCAGGCATCTAGACTCATGCCAGTGAAAAAAAACCACAGAGACAAGAGTTTGAACCACACATATGCAACAATCTCAGTGCCAAGTGCCATGGTCCAGAAATTAGGACCATAGATACCAAAGAGATCAAGGAGCCCAAAACAGTCCTCTAAGAGAGTGGTGGGAGTCTCAAAAATGGAAACACTAGGTTTTCTATGATTTCAGTTACCTCATATTCAGGAAGTTTTCTTCTAAAGAACTGTCACAGTTAAAAGAACTCGGATGTGCTGTGCTGGTTTGCTGGTCCCCTCACAAGTCCCACCAGATCACTGTGAAATGCAATGGGCCTTTTAAAGAAAAAAGACCCAACTTGCTGTCCGTTTTTCTGCTAACCCTGGTCAGGGTGAGGAAAAGGATTAATTTCATGCAAAAAAAAAAAATCTAATCCTGGTAATAATAAGAATTATAATTATAACAACCATCAACAATTCTTGCAAGGTTTCTGGGGGAGACCCGCTCCAAAGAAAAACATCACCATCAGCAGGAAAAGACAACCAGATCAAGAGGGTTGAGGTGGGCAGTCTTAGCAAGCCAACAGGGGCAGTCAATCTCCAACCAAACCAAACTAAAAAAAGAATTAGAAAGCCAAGAAAATCAACTGTGAACAGAAACTAGCGAACCAAAACCAGGCAGGACTTACCAGGATCGAAGTGGGAGCTGAATGCAAAACTGGGATTGAAAAACGAAGACGACATGACTAGGGCAAGGAGCTTGGCGGACATTCTCATGGCAAAGCATAGGAGAGAAATGTCGGTTTAAAAAAAAAAACAAAAAGCAAAAAGCAAAAGTGAAAAAATAATAATAAAAGAAGAAGAGGGAGGAATAGGCTTGGTTGGGGGTGGGGAGGGGAGGTGGGGGAGAATAGAGCCCTGAATGATCACTGGCCCAGGAGTTGCATTGGAGCCAAATGAAAATAACACCACGAATCACTGCTGCAGCCCCTCCTCCTCCATTTTATTCTAATGCATCTTCTGCTTGCAGGTATTTTTAGAGAATTACCCCCGCCGAGATCCCCAAAGAAAAGAGGCCTGAGGGGGCCGTCTCTCTCCCCCGCTCTCCCTCTCTGTCTTTTTCCCCCCCTCTCTCTCTCGCTCTCTCTCTCTCTTCCTTTCCACTATGGGAAAAGTGCCTTTGCTTCTGCAGCAGCAGGGTAGCCCCTGGACTGGTGCAATCCGAAAAATATATAAATATATGTAAGTAGAGAGACAGAGATGTCTCCTTGCTTCCAATAAGAGGGTGGGAAAAAAACCAAGAGGCATGCACACGCGCGCAAGCACACCCACACACACACACGGAGCGATCCCTGAATACAAACACGCGCGCGCGCATACACGCGCGCACACACACACACACACACACACACACACACACACGTTGCAAGTTTTGGATGCGGCTTGCACCCACCCCCAGCTGCGGCTCCTCACACTGTGCCCTTTGTGCAGCACTTCCTACAGAGGGGAGAGGGAGGGCCTTTGGGGCTCAAAGTCATCATAATCATAATAACAATAATAATTAATAACAAATCATTGTAGCCGCCCGTTTCCGGGAGGAGGAGGAGGAGGGAGAAGGAGAAGGAGGGGGTGGCTGGTAATAAAGAAAGAAACCGCCCCCAAGGAGGAGGCAGAGGAGGGAGCTGCGGGGAGGGAGAAGTCACAGCAGCAGAAGCAGCAGTGGCAGCGGCGGCGGCGGCGGCGGAGGCAGCAGCAGCGACGGAGGCAGCAAGTGTTTATGAAAATGAAAGAGCAGGAGCTGTTCCAGTGCTGACCCCGACGACAGCAGCAGCAGCAGCAACGCCATCTTGCATCATTTCGCAGCAGCGGCTGCGGGGGCGGCGGGGGCGATGGGGGGGAGGAGGGAGGGAAGATGGGGGGGCGGAGCTCGCGCGTCCCGCGGCGCGTGCCTGTCCATGCAGTCCAGGTGTCTCCCTCCCCGCCTCCTGCCCTGTCCCGCCGCGCTCCCTTTGCCCCTCCCCGTCCCCTTCTCCTCTGCCTGCCCCTCTTCCCTCCTCCTCTCCCTTTCCCTTCCCTACTCCCCTCTGTCCCCTTCCCCTCCTTCTCCCCCTTCCCTTCCCCCCTCTTTCCCATCCCTCTTCTCCTTCCTTCTCTCCCTCTCTCCTCCCCCTTGTTCACCTCTTCTTCCTCTTCTCCCCATTCCAACCTGCCCAGGCCCCATCTAGCTTTGGGTCTAATGGCCCAGGCCTAGGGGTCCTAGAGCTAGAAGGGGCCTTGGAGGTCACTCTAGGTCCAGTCCCACCCCCTCCTTTTTTTTACAGGAGAAGGGAAGTGACTTGCCCAAGGTCACACTGCTAAGGTTAGAATATCTTGGTATTCTTTTTTTTTCCTCTCCTTCCTAGAGAACCATCCCATATATAACCCATGGTTTGGTTTTTTTTTTCAAGAAGATGACAAAAGTCAGCAAAACCAATCAATAATAATAGCTAGCATTTCACATAGTGCTTTAAGGTTTGTAAAGTGGCTTGCAGATATTTCATTTGATCCTCATAACAATCTTGGGAGGATTCAACTTTTGTTGAATCATTTCAGTCGTGTCTGACTCTGCATGACCCCATTTTGGGGTTTTCTTGGCAAAGATACTGGACTGGTTTGTCATTTCCTTCTCCAGCTCATTTCAGAGACTGGGGCAAACAGGGTTAAGTGACTTGCTCAGGGTCACACATCTAACTGGTATCTGAGGGCAGATTTGAACTCAGGAAAATGAGCCTTCTGATTCTAAGCCCAGTGCTCTAACCACTGCACCACCTAGCTGCCAGGTTGTTATTATTATTATTATTATTATTATTTTACAAATGAGGAAACAGAGACAGACAGGTTAAGTGATTTGCCCATAGTTACACAACTAGTAAGTATCTGAGTTCAGATTTGAAATCAGGTCTTCCTGACTCCAAGTCCAGCATACTCTACCTATTGTGCCACCTAATAGCCACCTTTTAATACATTGAAAAAGTCTGAAAACATATGCAATGGACCTTCTACCTCTGCAAAGGAATGGGGTTGGGAGGGTGGGGTGGCGTACTCGTTTCTCCTTATCGTTTTAGATTCTAACCCAAAGCAGCTACCTGGCACAGTGAATACAACAGTGAACCTGGCGTCAGGAAAGGTTGAGTTCAAATGTACTCCTAGGTAAGTCATTTAAACTTTGCCTCAGATTCCCCGTATATAAAATGGGGATGATAATAATAACATTTCCTTCCCAGCATTGTTGTAAGGATAAAATATTTGTAAGAGCTTTTTAAACCTTAAAGTACCATATAAATACTAGCTGTTATTGTTGTTGTTGTTCAACTTGGTCCTCTTATTCCAAATCCAAAGCTTTTCTCAAAGTCAAGGGTTCTTAACCTATTTTGGCAGTCTGTTGAAGTCTATGGACCCCTTCTCAAAATAATATTGTTAAATAATGGAAGAAAATGCTAAATTTCAGTTAAAGGCCACAAGCATTTATTAAGTACCTACTATGTGCCAGGCACTGTGCTGAGCCTGGGAGTACAAAGAAAGATAACAAAACAGTCCCTGCTCTCAAAGAGTTCAGAATCTAATAGGGGAGACAAAAAAGTTAAGAATTCCCCCCCCTCCAAGTTCACAGACTCCTTTAAATATATCCGTGGATCTCCAAGAAGTTAAAGTTAAGAAGCCCCATTATGGTGGAAAGAACACGTATATTATCTCATTTAAGCTTCACAATAACGCTGTGGGGCAGATACAGCAGGGAAAAGGGACTGCAGCTATGATTTTACTGAAATAGAAAATTCCCAGGTGAAGAAATACCTCTTGCCAATGCAACTTGGCACTTTCTCTTCAAACTTATAGCTTTAGATGGCTGCATAAGGCTCAGAAGGGGTAAGTGACTTGCTCAAAGGGCCAGTTTGTCAGAAGCAGAGTACTACTTGATTCCAAGCCAGCTCTCATCCATTAAGTGTTGCTTCTCATGAAGCTTCACTGCCTTAAGGGTGGAGTCTACCTAAAGGGTAGATTCTCCAGGTGTTATTATTATCCCCATTTTACAGATGAGGAAACTGAGACTTGGAGCCAAGTAAGTATCTGCAGCAGTTCTCCCTGCCTCCAAATCTAACACTGTCTCCACTGTACCACACTGCTAAGAATCTGAGCAATATGTGTGAGTATGGAGCAGGATGGTTTTCTTTTTAAGTGAAACTGAAACAATCCTGTCACCTTCTCTTGCTTGTGATCAGCCATCCCACTTCCCTATTTCCCCAAAATGAAAATCCCATATCATCTCCCTTGTTTTTTTTTTTCTGACTTCCACTCGAATTTGTAGTTGGTTGGGTTCCCCCATCTCAAGTTAATATCTGAGGGCTGGGGATTATAGAAGAAGCCTGTACAGTAAAGTCCTTGGCTTCAGAGCAGCCATGGATCTATTCTCTCTAGCCAGTAGATGGGTAGGCCCTTCTGACCCCTTGCGTATCTTAGGGCTATTTTCCCCTATCCCCTCCACCAACACACACTCATACTTCCCTGACTGGTCTATAGGAAAGATATGAACCCAGGAAGCCATCACTAGCCTTCACAAGTTCAAGTGGAGACCTGCCCTTCTCGGTGAATGGTTTTAAATGTCAGAGGGATAAATCTGAGTTTGGTGAAGTAGAAATAATAACAGTGTGAGAGCCAGAACACCTGGATTCTAGTCCCAGCTCTGCTACATATTGGCTGAGGGCCTTAGGGCAAGCCTTTGGTGAGACCCACCTCTTTTGTTCTCAGTTTCTTCATCTGTACAATAAAGGCTAGACTAGATGATAGCTAGGTGGCACAGTGGATAGAAAGCTGGAGCCAGCAGGACCTGAGTTCAAAATCAGCCTCAGACACTAGCTCTGTGACAAGTCACTTTCTGTTTACCTCAGTTTCCTCAACTGTAAAACGGGGATAATAATAGGACCTACCATGAAAGGTTGTAGGGAGGATCAAAGGAGATATTTATGAAGTGCTTAGCACAGTGCCCGGTAAAGGCTTACTCCCTTCCCTTCCTTTCTGAGATCCCTTCCAGGTCTGAGGTGATGATTCTATGGCTAGACATTAGAAAAGAGTTCCTGATAATAATGGCTGTGAGCTTCCAAAGAAGTAAAACTTACAGAGACTTCTTTGGGAGTGTTTAAGGATCACACACATACACACACACACACACACACACACACACACACACACACACACACCCCTTTGATCTGAATTCATTCCACCTTAAGGCAGGATAGTAAAGTAGATGATTTTTCAAAGTCCCTTTGAGGGCATGGAAAGTCTGTGCTGACCCTGAACCCTGTGCTGATTCAGTAAATATGGCTTGACTTAAGTAATGGGAAAAGTTGGATTAAGCGGCCTTCAAGGTCCTTTCCAGTTCAAAATCTATGATCCTCTGACAGGATGACCATTGATATTGGTGGGGAAACTGTGGTGAAAAAGAAGGAGAAGGAGGAGGAAGAGAAGAAGAAGAAGTGATTTGCCTACAATCATACAGCATATGGAATTAGGGCGAGAACTAAGACCCAGGTATCCCATCTCCTAGTCCAGTAGTCTAAAATCAACTGAAAATCCTCCTTTTCTACTGACTGCCTTTTTGTTCCTTCAAAGGACTAGAATCACAGAATCTCAGACTCAGAAGGAACCTAAGATACCATTTGAACAGGAATCCCCTTCATCCTTGGCAGGTGGTCATTCAGTCTCCACTTAGATAACTCCAGTGACAGAGAATTCACTCCCACGAGCATTTATTCAATGCCTAGAATGTGCCAGCGCCATACAAATAATATCTCATTTGATCCTCACAACAACCCTGGGAGGTGGGTACTATTATTATGCCCATTTTATAGTTGAGGAAACTAAGGCAAACATAGGTTGAGTAACCTGTCCAGGGTCATACACAACACAGCTAGTAAGTGTCTGAGGCTAGATTTGAATTCAGGTCTTCCTAACTCCAGGCCATTTTCACTTCTGATTGCTCTAATTGTTGGGGATGTTTCCCCTTTCTTTAGCAAATCAAAAATCTATCATGTAAACTTGCACTGGATGATCCTCTGGGGTCAAGCAGCACAAATCCAATTCCCCATTTCATATGTGACAGGCTATATGAAGGGTTGACCAACCCCTCACTTGAAGGTAAGCCCCATCAGGTTGCTACATGACTATACTGTATTCATTCTCATCATATTGAGTTCTAGGACAATCCAGGGGTATGAGTGGATATTTCCTTATTAATTACTAGATTTCTACATGTCATTAATTAAGCATCTAAGCTCAGAGTCCCTACCCCAACTTACTGGTTATTGAATATTATTTCATAAACTAGACACCTCTCTCCACTAAGTAACAGTACCATATATACCAGAAATTCATGCTTTCACACATAATATTCTTTTTTATTCTTTGTATATGAAAATGTTTGTGTATGATTGTTAAATTCATAATAAAAAATTAAATGATAATTATAATATTTATTTAGCACTTTTATAGCTAATATTTATATAGCTCTAAATTTACAAAGCTTTTAACATAAATTATCTCATTTGATTTTCACAACAACCCAGGTATTACTGTTAGCTCTATTGTTCAGATAGGAAAACTGAGGATGAGACTTGTGCAGGGTCACACAACTAATAAATAGATAAGGCAGGATTCCAACTCACATCTTCCAAACTCCAAGTGTAGGGTGCTATCCACTATGACAACCGGCTGCTTATGAACCTATGAACCCTTTTGAACTTTACAAAGCACTCACTGAGGAAACGGAATCATTAGGAAAGTTAAGTGACTTTCCCATAATCCCATGCCTCATAAGTGCTAGAGCTGGGCTTTGAACCCAAATTCATTTGGTTTTGATACCAAATGTTTCCCTTTTCAGTCCATCATATTGCCTCTCTACGAGATCAATACATCTTTTTTTGGTACATATATATCTTCAGTAATATCTTTTATGTTGCTGTTGGGTTATTTCAGTCATGTCTGACTCTTTGTGAACACTTTTGGGGTTTTCTTGACAAAGATATTTGAGTGGTTTGCCATTTCCTTCTCCAGCTCATTTTACAGATAAGGAAATTGAGGCAAACAGAGTCAAGTGATTTGCCCAGGGTCACATAGCTAGTAAATGTCTAAGACTGGATTTGAACTCAGAAAGATGAATCATCCTAATTCCAAACCGAGTGCTCTAACCACTGTGCAAACTAGCTGCCCAATGTCTTTTATACCAGTGTCCCGTACAAGTCATTGTTGGTAACAAGCAGCATCCCATTATGAATATTTCCATTGCATCCTTTGAGTTATTTGTAATTTTTTTTTCTTCTAAGACAGTGGTATTTACATGGCAGCCATATAGTAATACGAAGAGATCACTGATGGCCATTTTCCATAGTCTGGAGCAGTTTGGGCACTGAAAACTGCACTATTTCCCAAATATGATCCAGACTATTCTTCTTGGTTCTGGGTCCCTGTCTATCTGCAGTGTGGGTCCTTATCTATTCCAAGATATACATGTCAATGGAATGTTTCAACAGGATAGGTAACATTATGGGTAATTTTAAAAATCCATTTTGCTTCTCCATGTGAATAGCTGAACCAATCTTTTGTTATTGTCATCAATTATTCTGAGAGGTCTTTCTAGAATTCAATGCAATTATGAAACTGTCATCTGTAAATAGAGTATCTCGTTACCAATGGAGACGCCATCTTTCATTTAGACTCTGCACAGGACATTACCTCTGATACTGGCAAACACTTCAGGTGAGCATGTGCCACCCTGTTTTATATCTTGACAGGTCATTAAATAGAGTTATATCAGCCATCACATTTGTCATAGATACTGGATTTAATTCCGGCATAGGTGAGGGAGAGACTTTGGTTGAAGAGAGATTTCAAGGCTTCAGGCTTGTTCCCTAAGCATTTGCCTCATTACCATTGTACTTGAAATTTGAGTCAATCCTTCCCATGGATGCTGTGTGTATTTGCATGACACTGTATCCCAGGCTTTTGAGGGTGAATATTTTGTACAAATTATTCTGACTATAAACCATCTTAATGAATGCCTTTTGCATGGAGCTAATTGAGCCTATTAGCTGATTATTACTAGAACCATGTTGGTAGGGGCTTGTCAGCAACAGTAGTAAGAGTAACTACCCACAGGATTGCCCCTAGAACCTCAGAGCAGGTACCACCCTCCGGGGACCCAAACTGAAAGTGTGAGTGCAACTTGATGGAAATAACATCAGAAGGGGTCAGACGTGTCTGACTCTTTGCAACCTCATTTGGGGTTTTGTTGGCCACAATACCAGAGTGATTTGCCATTTTCTTCTTCAGCTCATTTTACAAATGGGGAAACTGAGGTAAACTGGTTAAGTGACTTGCCCAAGGTCATACAGCTAGGAAATGTCTGAGGCCAGATTTGAACTCAGAAAGATGAGTCTTCTTAATCCAAGGTCCAGTGTTCCACTGTGCCACCCTTCAGAGGGAGTACTACACATACATATGAGAAAGTAGGCATATGGGTCTACAGTTGCTGATTTCTTCTTGGTTGCTCTATTTTTTTTTTATTTGAAAGGCAGGGGTAAAAAAAAAACCCCACTGTCTATGACTATTTCTATCTTTTTGGCATCTTCCCTTCTGAGGTCTCTTGAAAACCGATCTACTGGTATCTTTTAAAATTGTATCACCTTCAGCAGATTTCTTCTGCCTATATTTATTTGATCAGGCCCTGTCACTCCCTGTGGTTCATCTGCTTTAGGTGTCACTGCCACTTTCTTACAGAATCCATCATGTGCTGAGGTGGTAGAATGGTGTTTCAGCTCTTGTCACCAATTAGATCACCACCCACTAACCGATCTGTTTTACTTTACATCTTTGTTGTCCTCCCAATGTCATTGGCAAATGATCTCCAGATGATGTGACTTAGCTGGGCCTTATGCCAAGCTCTCGGAAAGCGCCTGTATCCATCATCTTCTCTTTGGGGGGTTTTTGTTGTTGATGTTGTTTTAAAATGATACTGCTCTCAATCTTCTGTCTTCTTTCTCCTTTGTGTTTTGCAAATGAACTTCTGCTTTCACCTGCACCGCCCCCAGGCTACCATGTCTTCTCCTGTCAAGGTTCCCTTCAAGGATAGATTCTGGGTTTTTTGGCCTCCTCCTTGTGGAGACTGTTCATAACAGTTAATATTCTCTAGTAGATGGTGATGAAGTCAATGATTTTGCTTTTTTCCGGTTTCCATTTTAGCAGAGTCCAGAGCTTGTGTCAACCAGACCGATGGAAACTGCTAGAATGAAGTCAATCAATCAATCAATCAATAAACATTTATTAAGCTTCTAAGATGTGCTAAGCACTGGGGGATACAAGAAAAGGTAAAAGGCAGTCCCTGACATCACAGAACTTACAATCTAATGAGGGAGGCAACATGTAAACAAATATATAGAAAGTGAGCTATAAAAAGGATAAATGGGAAATAATTAACAGAGAGAAGGTGCTGGAAGGAAGGCTTCCTATAGAAGGTGAGATTTTAGCTGGGACTTAAAGGAAGCCAGGGAGGTCAGTAGTCAGAGTTAAGGAGGGAGAGAGTTCTAGGCATGGGGGACAGCCAGAGCTGGAAGATGGAGTGTCTTGTTTGTGAGACAGTCAGGAGATCAGTGTCACTAGATCAAAGAGTACATGTTGGGGCATGTGGTGTAAAAAGACTGGAAAGGTAGGAGGGGGCTGGGTTACGAAGGCACTTGAATGCCAGAGCATGTTTTACTTGCTCCTGGGGGCAATAGGGAGCCATTGGAGTTTATTGAGTGTGATTTTGGGGGAGTGACATGATTGGACTGGCACTTTATCACTCTAGTGGCTGAATGGAGGCTTGCTCTTAGTGTCTTATCTTTTTCCATCCTTTTAATTTGGTTTCTACTTTGTCAGTTTAGTGAAGCATACAAGGAAATATAGCAAGGCACACGTGTGTGTGTGTGTGTGTATGCACACACACACACACACATATACATATATACACAAGAGGGTATAGAATAAAATGAGCAAAACCCAAAGTGTGTGGATAAATAGATACAGATATAGCTACATAGATTTATAAATACATATAGAAATAACAACTATATGATTTTTAAAATTTTTATTTTTAATTTATGGAATAAAGCAAGCTTTCCATAACATACATAGTACAATAAAAAAGATGATTGTACATGAAACTGCAAATCTGCTATGCACGACTTGCTATTCCTTTAAAAAATACAACAAAATTATCATGTAAATTTTTTAAAAATTGAAAGGAAAGAAGGAATGAAAACAGGACAAAAGATAGAAGAACTTCAAGCAAGACTGGAAGTAATCATGGAAAAAAGGCATTTTCCTTGTAATTTGTTAGTTCCTTTGGTTCTTCCTTCTTAAAGTTCAGAGATTTGGGATGATATTTTGTGCCTTATTTTGTACGTGTACTTGGTCATTTATTTCTATTGATGGTTATTTGTTTATAACAAAAAAAATTTAAAGAGAAAAGATATTTCCAATTTCATTTTGATGTTATTTTGGTGCTCACCCCATCTGTGACCTTGTGACTGACTCTCTTTTTGTTTGTTTGTATATATTGGAACTATGATTTCATTGGGATAAAAGACTCCAGGGAGAGAAACTCCCTTAGCACCTTCTTGGCAACTTAAAGTCTTAGAAAATTACCTGGGGCACTGAGAGATTAAGTGACTTGTTCACCATCACAGGACCAGTATAGATAAATGGTGGGACTTGAGCCCAGGTTTGGCTGACTCTGAGGCCATATTTCTATACACTGTGGCCATGTTGCTTATTTTCTTCTTTAACAAAAAAACAAAAACAAAAACAAACAAACAAACAAACAAAAAAGGATTCCCAATGGATGGGAGCAAGGGCTCTGAGTAGTCTCTAAGCCTTTGATCTCTTTACTTTCTTGATCCTGACCTGTATTTTCCAATACGATGTTGACGCCTTTCTGTATGTGATGACTTTATGTGGAAGTTGCCAAGCATCAGTTTATAGAGGATAGAGATGGGGAGTGGCCTTGTGATTCACCAGTAGAAGGAACTTCCAAGAGAGGCAACCTGATACAATGGATAGAGAGTTTGGAAGCCAGGAAGACCAGGGTTCAGGTCCTGCCTCTGAACACATACTAGCTCTGTGACCCTGGGCAAGTCACTTAGTCTTTCAATGCTCTAGGCATTCTCTCAGAATCTAAATCACAGGGCCAGCTAGGTGGCACAGTGGATGGAGCTCTGACCTTGGAGTAGGAGGACCTGAGTTCAAATCCAGCCTCAGACACTTGACACTTACTAGCTGTGTGACCCTGAGCAAGTCACTTAACCCTGATTGCCTCACCAAACAGCAAAAAAAAAAAAAGAATCTAAATCACAGAGAAGGTGCTGGCCTATGTTGGTCAAGCCCTTGAAATATTTTATCTCATTGGTTTCTTGGCGTACCTTGCAGTGGTCATTATCCCTATTTTATAGATGAGGAAACTGAGACCAACAGAGTGATTTTCCCGAGGAAAGAGTCACTTCTTTTTTCCTTAATAATATTCGATTTTTTTTAGTTACATGTAAAGATAGTTTTCAACATTCATTTTTGTAAAATTTTGATTTCCAAATAGTTCTCAATCCCTCCCTTCCCTCCCTCCTCCCCAAGACAGCTTCTGCGACAGTCTATTGATGCTGAACATGCATGCCTCTGTTGGCCTTTGGGTGAAACTCAGGTCTCCAGACCTCACAGTATTCCATAATTCAAAACCATACAGTATAATCAAAAGAATATTGGTGCTAGAAAGAGCTGTGATGTTTTGAAAAAATATATGCATTGTGTTTTGTGTGTTTTCTTGAAAAGCACTATCCTTTATTTTCCCCAAATTTATGTAATCCATGCCTTTGTTTAAAAGTCTTTAAAATGTTGAACAACTCAGTGCTGAAAACAGATCCAGAGGCACCACAAACTGTTTCTTGGTTGATGTGAATAAGATTTCTTTTTTTTCCCTTTTTTGGATCAAGAGTCACTTCTTTTTGAGGGTTAGTACCAGCCTTCCAGTTACCCAGGTTTTCAGCCTCAGTGTAATTATTGACTCTTCATTCTCCCTCACCCAGTCATTTACCACGTCTTGTCAATTCTCTCTCTATAATATCTCTCACATCTTTCCTCTTATCCCCATTCAGACCTGGTTCAGGCCATCATTATTTCTCTCCTGAAATACTGCAATAGTGTCTCAACTTCCAGTCTCTCCCCTCTCTGATTCACCATCCACTCAGCTGCCAAAATGGTCCTGCTGAAGCACCACCCTAACCTTGTCATTTCCCTGATCAAGACCCTCCCTGACTCCTTATTGCCTCTAAGATAAAATTCTGTGTTGTTGCTGTTGAGTCATATCCAACTTTGACTCCTTTGGGGGTTTTCTTGGCAAAGATACTGGTTAGATTTGCCATTTCCTTCTCAACTTCATTTCGTGGATGAGGAAAACTGAGGAAAACAATTAACTCCACCCAGGGTCACACAGCTTATAAGTGTCTGAGGCTGGATTTGAACTCAAGAAGATGAGTCTTCCTGACTTCAGGCCCAGCACTCTATGCACTATGGCACCGCCTAGCTGCCCTATGCTACCTATTTGACATTTAAAGCCTTTTACAACTTAATATCAGCCTATCTTTACGGGCTTATTGTATATTACTTTTCACATATACATTGGCACATAGCCACACCGGTCTACCAATTGGTCCCTGAAACACGCATGACATCCTTTTGCACAGGCTGTACCCTATGCCTAGTACACTCTCCCTCCTTTTCTCTGCCTCTTAGAATCCCTACTTTGTTAAAGGTTCAGCTCACGTACCTTCTCTGGAATCATAGAATTCTCAGGATTGAAAGGGACATCAATGACCATTTAGTCCAACTCCCTACTTGAAATGAATCCCCACTATAATATACATGACAAATGGCTGGCCAGCCTCTGCTTGAAGATCTCCAAGGAGGGGGAATTCACTGCCTCTCTAGGCTACCCATTCAACTTTTGAATAGTTATAATTGTTAGGAAATTTATTAGTGCTGTTGTTTTCTAACAATAAACCTAAATTTTCCCCTTTGAGACTTCTGGTGCTGCCTCTGAGGTCAAACAGAACAAATCTAATTTCTCCTGAACATGACAACCTTCAAAGACAGTTCTCATGGCACACACACCCTCACCCCACCCCAAAAAGGACATTTTTCTTCTCCAGACTAAATATCTGCAGTTCCTTCAGCTGAGCCTCATATGACATAGTCACAAGGCCCTTCACCATCCGGATTGCCCTCCAGTGGACAGTCTCCATTTCATCAATGTCCTTCCTAAACTGTAACTCACAGAATTGGGCACAGTAAAATGAGTTAGAGAAGGAAATGGCAAACCACTCCAGTATCTTTGCCAAGAAAACCCCAAATGGGGTCATGGAGAGTCGGATAGGACCAAAACCACTCAGCAGCAGCAACTCCAGAGATGGCCCAATTAGAATAGAGAAGGATGATTGCCTCCTCATTCCAGGAAGCCCCTCTGAGTGCAGCCCAAGATGGCATTAACTTTCCCTTGCAACATCACACTGCAGTCTTGGATTGAAGGTGAAGTCTATCAAAGCCCCCAAATCTCTTTCAGACAAACTTCTATCTATGATCAAACATAAAATTCTCTGTTTCGACCTTTAATGTCCTTCACACCCTGACCCCTTAATACTTTTCCAGTCTTCTTATGCCTTTTCCTCTCTACAATCCAACAACACTGAGCTAATTGCTGTTCCTCACACGTGACACTCCGTCTCCCACTTCTGGGCATTTTTATTGGCTGTTCCCTGATGCCTGGAATACACCTCTTCCTCACCAACATTTCCTGGCTTCCTTCAAAACCCAGATAAAATCCCACCTTCTCCAGGAAACCTTTCCCGATCCCCCTTAATTCTGGCACCTTGCCCCTTGATTATTTCTGATTTATCCGCTACCTAGCTTATTTGTACATATTTTACATATTGTTTATATATTGTCTCCTCCATTAGACTGTGAGCTACTTGAGAGCAGGTTCCTCATTTATCTTTCTTTGTATCCCTAGAGCCTGGTACAATGCCTGGCGTGTAGTTAATACTTAATAAACGCTTGTTGACCTTGTTGACTTATTGACACTGTCTAACCGTGCCTTCCTTGTCCTGTACTTTTGAAGTTGATTTCTTAAAACAAGTGTAATTTATATTTATCCCTATCAGATTTCATCTTATTAAATTCAGCCCAAGGCTGGCCTGTCAAGTTCCTTTTGCTTCCCAACTCAGTCATCCACTGTGTTAGCTATCCCCACTCCTGCCCCCAGCTCAATGTCACCTGCAAATTTGATGAGTATGCCATTTATGCCTTTATCCAAGTAGTCATTGCTAAAAAAAAAAATGTTCATTTGAACAGGGTCCACCTCAGATTCCTGGTGTATTCCACTAGAGACTTCCTGTCATGTTGACATTAAGGCATTAACACCTGCTCTTTGGATCTAGCCACTAACCCAGCTCTGAATCCCTATATTATCAGCTAGTCCACATCTCTCCACCTTCTCCACAAAAATAGTTTGAGATGTTTTATTTCATTTCCTTTGCTAAAATCTAGATTAGACTATATTAAGAGGGACATAGCTTCCAGGAAGGAATCAGGCCACATATGGAGAATTGGGCACATGCATAGACATTTGAGCCCAAGGATTTTACTACTGGTTCTTTTTTGGACTTTATCTCCAATAAACTTCTCAACAGCTACTCTTCTAGCTTCTTTTTAGCTTGTAGTCTTCTCCCTCCTCCACAATTTTTCATTTCGTTCTACTTGTAAGACATCGGCAATGGGAAGCCTCTCATGATCCTGGCGGTTTTATGCTATCTCCCTTTTTCTCATATTTTCATGTATATACTTGTTTGTATGTTATATGTCTCCTCCACTCCACAGGAGATAGACAGTAATCAGACAGACTTTGATTGTTTTCCTTCCCCGGGCCTCAGTTTGCTTATCTGTAAATTGAAGGCATTGGACTGAATGGCCCTTGAGGTTCTAGACTATGATGATGCTTTGCTGTTGTTGTTTTTCAGTCATTTCAGTTGTATCTGACTCTTCAGGACCTATTTTGGGTTGTTGTTGGGGTTTTCTTGGGGGGGGGCAAAGATACTAGAGTATCTGCCATTTCCTTCTCCAGATTATATTACAGATGAGGAAATTGAGGCAAACAGGATTAAGTGACTTGCCCAGGGTCACACAGCTAGTAAGTGTCTGAGGCCAGATTTGAACTCAGGAAGATGAGTCTTCCTGACTCCAGGCCCAGCTACCCATATCCAAGCCAGCACAGTGCTTTGCACATAGTAGATGTTTCATAATTGCTTACCGGATTGGAGGTAGCAGAGCCAGAATTCTAACCCCATTATGGATTCTAGCCCAGCCAAAAGCCAGTGCCTTTCCTCTTACACCAGAGTTGCCACAGGAGTCATAGTTCCTTGGTAATAAAAATCAAGGCCTCTGAATCTTCCATCCCTCTGAGAGGTTGGCTTTTTTTTTTTGATCATTTGTCCAGAAATGCGCACACACTGTGTTCATTTGCATATTATTAATGAAAATGAAGTCTCCAAAGCCGAATATTGTTGCTGTCCTCACACCAATTCTAAAACTCTGGCCTGAGCACTTTAAGTGAATTAGTTCCATTATTCAATTTATGCACATAGACATTGAAGACCACAGAAAAGTAGGGCAGTCACAAAGGATTCTTGTGTTAGGTTAATTCCTTTAATTTCAATGGAGCTGAAAGCAATTTATACATCTGGAATTCTTTTCCAAAAAGCCAAAGAAACTAAAAGCAGAGTCACATAACTATAATTTAAACACCCCACTCATTCAGGTATATGTAGGTGAATTTCTTCTGAAAAGAAGCCAAGACAGAAATCTAAACAGTCTTTAAGAAGCCTATGAAAATTCTCTAACTACTGGCTCCTCCCATGCTCCCCACCCAAAAAAAAAAAGTGAGAAGAGAAATTATAGATAAATGTATTGGGAGAAAAATATACCAGATACAAAAAGTTGTATTTGAAAAGTATAAATAAATTAATGACAAAGTTCATTTTACCCCACATTTAGGAATTAAAGAAGCGCAATGTTTCATGGCCATGCTGGGAGTGACAAGAGCCTTTCTTGGTGTTGTGCCCTTCAATCCTAAAGCAGTCTGTTCTAGCTCCCCAAGAATATGAATATCAAGTATCTCTAATGGCAGAGCTACCCTTTTTGATGCCAGTGAGCAAGACAACATCATCTTCAGGAGTAAGCGCTGTTACTGTTCGGTCATTTCAGTTGCGTTCGATTCTCCGTGATCCCATTTGGGGTTTTCTTGGCAAAGATCCTAGAGTGGTTTGCCATTTCCTTCTCCAGCTCATTTCACAGATGAGGAAACTGAGGCAAACAGGGTTAAGTGACTTGATCAGGTTCATGCAGCAAGTGTCTGAGGCTAGATTTGAACTCATGAAGATGACTCTTCCTAGTTCCAAGCCCAGTGCTCTATCCTTTGTGCCACCTAGATACCCAGAATCATAAAGACCTAAGTTCAAATCCTCTTTCAAATTCATACGAGCTATGTGATCCTGGTCAAGTCACTTAACTGCTGTCTACCTCAGTATCTTCATCTGTAAAATGGGAGTAATAATAGCACCTACTCCCAGAGTTGTTGTGAGAATAAAATGAGATAATATTTGCAAGGGCTTTGGAAATCTTAAAGTGCTATGTAAATGCTAGCTATTAGTTACTGAGTACTTATTCTACACAAGGCCCTGTGCCTCTATTAATGCAACCTAAGACCACGTTATTTTTTTTGGCTGCCTGTAACATTGCTGACTCATATCCATGGTAGTTTGTCTAGAGTGCTGGACTTGGAGACAGGAGAATCAGTGTTATGATCTCATCTCCAACACTAACTAGCTTCAAGACGTTGGTCTAGTCATTTGACTTCTGAGTCTCAGCTTCCTCATCTGTAAAATGGAGAAAATAATACTTATCTCAGAGGACTAATGTATGTAAAACACTCTGCAGGCTTTGAAATACTAATTTGAAATTCCCCAGTTCTTTTTTGGGGGGGGGCAATTGGGGTTAAGTGACTTGCCCAGGGTCACACAAGTGTTTGGTTTGAGGCTGGATTTGAACTCAGGTCCTCCTGACTTCAGGGCTGGTGCTCTATCCCTGCTGCCCCCCCTTTTTAAAAAATAGAAACCCTATCTATCCATATCTCAGACCTGTACAGTTGAATTTTTGAACCAAAGTATAAGATTCCTAGGGGCAGCTAAGTGGCACAATGGGTACAGTACCAGGCCTGCAGTCAGGAGGACTCATCTTCCTGAGTTCAGATCTGGCCTCAGATACTCACAGCTGTGACCCTGGGCAAGTCACTTAACCTTGTTTGCTTCGGTTTCCTCATCTGTAAAATGAGCTGGAAAAGGATATGGCAGTATCTTTGCCAACAGAACCCCAAATGAAGTCATAAAGAGTCAGACACGACTCAAAATAACTGAGCGACAACAACAAAACGAGATTCCTATTCGGTTTCGCCTTATTTTGTCTGGCCCACTGTTCCAGCTTGCTGAAACCTTTTTGATCCTTATTCTTTCAACCAATATATTAATTTTTCCTTCCAGCTTTGTATCATCTGAAAACTTGATAAGCATACTGCATATGCCTTTAATCAGGTCATTGATAAACACGATGACCAGAACAGATTGAGGACAGAGACCATGCCATACATTTCCCCTTCCCCTGTCTCATACTGAAGTCACCCCTCATTAGCTCCAATTATTCAGCCAGTTCCAAATCCACCTACTATTACTATCATCTTGCCCACATCTTTCCATCTGGTCCAAAAAGACATCTTATGAGATTTGGCCAATGCCCTGAAGTCTGTGGTATTTACTTGAGACTTTGTTTCAAAATATTCTATTTAATAGATTAAAACTTCAGTCTGTTAAAAAAAAAAAAAGGAAATGAAGTTAGCTTATAAGACCTGTTCTCAAATGATTCATGCTGGCTCAAAGTTCTGTTTCCCTTTCTGAGTGCTAATGTTCTATCCCTTTAATAATGCCTTCTATCATTGTGCCAGGGATGTTTAACATTAAGCTCAGCAGCCTGTAATTTGAAGAATTCTCCTTCTTTCCCTTCTTGAAATAGTAGGCATTTGCCAGTCTATACTGCTGAAACATGTCTCCTGTTTACTTTTGTTGTTAGTCGTGTCCGACTCTTCATGATCTTATTTGAGATTTTCTTGATAAAGATACTGGAGTGCTTTGTCATTTACTTCTCCAGCTCATTTTACACATGAGGAAACTAAGGCAAACAGGGTTAGGTTAAGGGCCAGGGTCACACCCCTAGTATCTATTTGAACTAATGAAAATGAGTCTTCCTGATTCGAAGCCCAGTGTTGTATCCACTGCGCTACCTAGCTGCCCTTCTCATGCTTACTATGATTCCTCAAAGATCATCGGTGTTAGTTCAACGCCCACCGCTACCAGCTCCCTCAGTCCCCCAAGCTGTAATTCACTGGGATCTCATGATTTGAATGCACTGAGGGCAGTTTGGAGTTCTTTTTTTCTTGCTTCACTTACCTTGAGAAAGTGTTGATTCCCCGCTAACCCTCTTTGTTTCACCCTTTCCAGTCTGAAGATGGTTCAACTTGGTTAGGAAAAAAAGAAACAAAACAGTAGGTGAGTGGCTCTTCCTTCTCTGGATCATTCATTAGCATTGTCTCTGAGAGCCAATACCACTTCCTTGTTCCTCTCCTTGCTGCCAACGTTTTTGAAAAGCTTTTTTTGTTGTCCTTAGCATTTATCACAAGCTTCAGCTTATTCCGGTCTTTAACCTTCCTGACCCTATTTCTACCTTCTGTTCCCTGACTTTGTAAACATCCTCATTTAATTTGGCCTTACTTCTATTTTCTCTGTCTTTTAAAAAATGACTTACTATAAACTTGAGAGGCAGCACATCAGAGTTGATATAGACTGAGCCTCAGGGTCTAGGGCTCAAGTTCTGTACATGACCCATACTTGTTGTATGACCAGGAGTGGGGTAATAAATATTTAACAACCAGCTCTCAGGGAGATGGGTGGGGTGGGTGTGTATGGAGGACATACTTTTAAATTTAATCAGTATAATTAGTACTTTTCCTATCCCTTTCTTAAATCTAGACAATCAATAAAATAATAAATCAAGCCCTGATTTATAGTGCCTGATTTTTGAATGTGAATGCTCACACTGAAAATTTAACAATCTGCTCTCCTGAGCCTGCATGAACTAGCTCCACTAAAGCCCAGTGTGTGACTCTGGGCAGATGGCATAACCCCTCAGTGCTCTAAGCCACAGAAAACTCTAAGACTATAAATAGCAGACTAGTACTGACCTGCATTGGTAGAGAGAATGACTTTATGATCTGAACCCAACCAAAAAAAAGTTATGAACTTAACTTTAATCATCGACAAAGCCATTTAAACATACTTTATAACTATTCACACTTCCAAAAAAAGTCAGCATATGAAATGTCCATAATTACGTATCAATTACTTCTGTTTCCCCTTCTGTGTTGTTTGCTTGTTCGTTGAATTTTATTTATGTGTGTATGTATATATACATATATATTCCCATTTATGATTATTTAAATAAATTAAACTGATGAAAAATTGCCGGTGAAAATAGTGAAACTAGAAACCACCTTAGCCAGAAAAAAAGAATCTTGACAAGTAGAGAGACAACACCAGTTTAAAGTAAAAAAGTCAATTTTTTAAAAAAGGAAAAAACAGATTATAAAAGGATCTTCACCTTAATCAAGCTGCTCTTTATACCTGAAAATCCTTGCCTCCCCTCTTTACATTTTGAAATTGTGGTTCAGTCTTGTCTGAACCTTTGTGTCCCTGTTTGGGGTTTTCTTGGCAAAGATACTGAAATGACTTGCCATTTCCTTCTCCTGTTCATTTTACAAATAAGGGAACTGAGGCCAACAGGGTTAAGTGACTTGCCCAGGGTCAGCTAGTGTCTGAAGCGGCATTTGAACTCAGGAAGGCAAGTCTTCCTGACTGCAGGTCTAGGCCCAGCACTGTATCTGCTGCGCCACCTCGAGGCCTTTTTGAGCTTCTACCCATTCTTTAAAATCCATTTTAAATACCTTCTTCATTGAGCCTTTCCTGATTCTCTCCATTGGTAAAGACTTTTCCCCAAAGTAGACCTGCATAACTTGGAAGTAGGTAGGAGCCAAAATTAAAATAAGCTAAACTTCTTTGGGTCGCAGAAAGGTTTTTAGTAGCTCACTTTCCAAGTAAAGGTATAATTAATGATTCAACTATTTTGCAAATAAACCATCTTTTAAAAAAGGAAAATTTCAATTAATATCAATTAATTATAATTATTACTCAAGATTTTTATTTATCATGAAATCACATTAATGTTAAATATGTTTTTCAGGTTTTTTTTACTGTTTATATTTAGTAATGACCGAAGACACAGCAAAAAGATATGACTCTCATTCCTCTCAGACTAGAGACAGACAATGGTAGTTTGCCTTGGGTCATGTGACAAACAGGAGAGAATGCGCAGTGGCAACCCACCCACCAAGTTACATGACGGGCACAATAGTGACTAGCAGAAGGCACTTTAAGCAGTGCATGAACAGAACATTCATTACATCTTTACTTTCTTTTACATCCTCTACATTTTTCGTAGTCCGCCCAAAGTATTTTAGTGGGCTGTGTGTTTTGCAGGCCTGCCCCAAAGACTTCACGTAGCATTTTGTTTTGCACCTCTCCTAAAGGACTTATGTTCTGAATTATTGTTGTATCTCATCTAGAGGTATGCTGGAATCTGCTCCTACTGCCTCAAGAGGCAATTGCTAAACTTTCAGTGTGAGCATTTCCATCTTGGAAGTCAACAAGCTACAAATCTGGGCTTGATTTCTTGTTTTACTGATTGTCTAGATTTAAGAAAGTGGTAGAGAAAATATTAATAATGCAGATTAAACATTGTGTGTCTTGCATTTCTTCTGGAGAGCCAGTTGTTAAACATTTACCAGCATATCACTACTGATCTTCCTAATAGTCTCCACATAATAAATAAACTCATGAAAGCAGAAATTGGGTCATATCTAAGTGATGAATCCTCTCTGCCCATAGCACAGTACTCTCTACACAGTAAGTGCTTACAAAATATTTGTGAAAGTGGAAACAATGAGGTTTTACACTGATATATGTGCACTGATATGTGTATATGTGCACAACATAATCCTGTCTTCATGTCTCATGGAATCATTAAGTTCTCATTGTTCATTTCTCTTTTTCAGATTATCCATTACTTGAGGAAGGTTTTTTTTTTTGAAGTTTCCTTTTTTTTTTTTTTTTTGGCTAGGCAGTGGGGTTATGTGACTTGCCCAGGGTTACACAGCCAGAAAGTATTATGTGTCTGAGGCTGGATTTGAACTCAGGTCCTCCTGAATCCAGGGCCGGTGCTCTATCCACTGCACCACCTAGCTACCCCTTGAGGAAGGTTTTCTATCTTATGTTTTGAGTTCCTTTTTCTCTTTCCAATTCTTTCCTCCATTGTTCTTATTGTTTAGTTGTTTTAGTCATGTCCAAATTTCTGTGACCCTATTTGGAGTTTTCTTGGCAAAAATCCTGGAGCAGTTTGCCATTTCCTTCTCCAGCTCATTTAACAGATGAGGAAACTGAGACAAACAGGGTTTAAGTGACTTGCCCAAGGTGCACAGCTAGTAAATGTCTGAGGCTACTCTCACTTTAATTCTAATTTCTTTTTTTTAATCTCTTAATTTCCTCTGGCCATTCTTTTAGTGTTTTTGGCCAAACCACATTAATCCCAGTGGCTCCTATTTACTATAGAGTTACTTTTTTCATCAGGGATTACCTCTTAGGTACCCATACTATTACTTCATTGTGCTTTGGTGTTCTCTTTTGTTCACTCATCTTTTTTCCCAATATGGTTCTTTTTTCTGGGCTTGCAAAGGTTGGGTCCCCTGACTATGATTTGCACTGGCTTTCCTGGTACAAGCCTTCATGTGGCCATCTAAACTACATATAGGAAATGAGGGAGTAGGAACACGTTACTCAACTCCACCCAAGCTGTCTCAGCTGGCTGCTGGGCTGGGGAGGGGAGGGAACCAGAAGTGGGCTGCTCAGCTGGGTCCACTGTCTGAATCTCTTCCACTGGCTGGCTGCTGGTGAGGGTGTTCTCTTCTCTTTTTATCTTTTAGAGCATAGTACTAACATCAACCACTGTAATTTACCTGAGTTTTGTTGACTCTCCACGTTAACTTTATTTATACTGGAGTAGTCATCATTCATGTTGTTCTTTGGGCTCTGCTTTCTTCCCTCTAAAAGTCGTTATTTTATTCTTTTTTGTTTGTTTGTTTTGTTTTTGCTAGGCAATGGGGTTAAGTGACTTGCCCAGGGTCACACAGCTAGTAAGTGTTATGTGTCTGAGGCGGGATTTGAACTCAGGTCCTCCTGAATCCAAGGCCGGTGCTCTATCCACTGTGCCACGTAACTGCCCCTAAAAGTCATTATTTTAAAAACCACTATTTTTTCTTTTTAAATTTGTGTTGATATATTTTGTTTATATATCACTTTTTTTCCAAATATATCCCTCTTCCTTCCATTACCCAGTGAAACAGTCCTTGTAACGAGAAACAAAAAGAAAAGGAAAAAAGTAGCAAAATTAATCCACACATCAATTAAGTCTGACAGTATATACAGTGTTCCACTTCCACCTCTCTTCTTCTGGAACAAGCTTAGTCATTATAATCACTCAGAATTTACTTTCAATTTTTTTCTTCATTTACATTATTGTAGTCATTGTGAGTATTGTTTTCCTTCTTCTGCTTGTTTTACTTTGCATCTTTTCATGCCTTTCCCTATTTCTAATTCTTTGCATTTATCACTTCTTACCAAACAACTATTCTGTTTCATTCATGTAGCACAATTATTTTAGCCATCCCTGCCCCCTAATAATGGGCATCCAATTAGTTTCTAGTTCTCCGCTATCACAAAAACTCCTGCTTTGAGTATTTTGGTATATATGGGACCCCTCTTTCTGTATTTGTCCTCCCTAAGTTATATGCCTAGAAAAAGGATCTCTTGACATCAAGATTTTTCCATTGATGTTGTATAACTGTGAATCATGGAACAGCAAAATCTCAGAAAAATCAAAATGGCAGATGACCCAACTATTTCTCTTTGGTTGTGGTTTTTACTCAGAATGATTTCTACCTGAGAAGTAGCATACAGAAACGTATCATCTTCTTCCAGTCTTCAGCATTATCCTTGAATTCTCACTATCCTAAATGCATGTCAGATCAGCTGCAAAACCTTGCTGTATATACACATTTATATATATGTGTGTGTGTGTGTGTGTGTGTGTGTGCGTGTGTATATATAACATCTCTTGCATTCATTCCTATCTCTCTACTCACAAAAACACAACCTTAGTTTAGACCTCCTCACCTCTAGCCTAGACTATTGCAAACTAATTCATCTCCCTACCTTAAGGCTCCCCCTACTCAAATCTATCCTTCATAGAGCTAACAAAATTACTTTCCTTAAGCATGTATCTGACCACCTTATTTCCTTCTCAAAAAATTTCAGTAGTTTGATAGATAGGTATGTATATACATATAGATGTATATGTGGAGAGAGAGACAGACAGACAGACAGAGAGACAGAGACAGAGAGGCACAGAGACACAGAGAGAGAGACAGAGAGAGAGAGAAAGTAAATGGAAGGTATGGGAGACAGCTAGTGCAAAGGCAGGTTATGGAATCTTGTATGTAAGGAACAGTAAAAAGGCCAATGTGTCCAGAAGATAGCAGTATAAGAAAGGGCTAGGTTATGAGGAGTTTATATTTGATTCTAGAGGTCATAGGAAACCACCAGAATTTATTGAGTAAAGGGGTAATATTGTCAGACCTACACTTTTATAAAATCACTTGGCAGCTGTGTCAGAAGATGGATTGGGCTCAGGAGAGCCTAAAGGCAGAGTGACAAATTAGGAGGCCATTACAATAGTCCAGACAAGAGGTGATAGAGGGCTAGAACTAGGCTGGTGATCATGTGAGTGGAGAAAGGGGAACATAAATATTAAATGTCTGACAACTGATTAAATCTGTGGGATGAGTATGAAGAATTAAGGATAACAGCAAAGTTGCAAACCTAGATGACAGAACATATGATGATAGTAACAGGGACAGTAATAGAGAAGTTTAGATGTGAGAAGTAGGTTTTTGGGGAAAAGGCGATGAGTTCTATTTCGGACATGTTGAATTTGAGATGGCTATTGGACGTCCATTTTGAAATGTCTAACAGGCAGTTGGCAATTCAGGGGTGGAATTCAAGAGAGAGACTAGGACTAGCCATATCTTTCCAGCTCTTTCTATTTTCCATCTGTGTCCTTTGCGCTGACTGTCTCTCATGCCTGCAATGTTCAACATCCTCATCTCTGTTTCATAGAGTTCCTCACTTCCTTTGAGACTCAGTTTAAGCTCCACCTTCTATGTAAAACTATAGTAGACCAAGCCTGACTCAGGCTGGTCTGGCACCTCAGGTTCAAAATTGGAATGAAAAGAGATTAACAAAAGAAGGTTTATTTGCCTCTAGCGGGGAAAGATATTCAGAGCAGAAACAGCATATTCACTGAGGATATCGCTTCAAGTAAGCACATTCTCTCTGTTTCTGTGTTGCCCATGCTGGTCTGCCAGTCAAACCTTAGGGAGCAGCTGGAGCATCTGTCTTTTTTTACTTAGACATCCAGGAAGTTATGTCAGAATTTAGTCCCCTGTGTTTAGGGATGTGCTGGAGCCAGATTGAACCAACTAAATTTTCACTGTGAGCATTACACCTGCAGAAACACAGCAAATGTACAAATACTGCAAATCAGAGGTTAATTTATTGTTTTGTTAGTTGTTTAGAGACTTAAGAAAGGGATGGATAAAATGTTAATAATGCAGATTAAATTTACAAGTGCATCATGTGTACAATTTGACTCCTCACAGAACTAGTTGTTAAACATTTACTAGCACACTCCAGCCTGAGTCAGTTAAGTCTTAAGGCTATGGTATGATTTTGATACCTTTTAAGGAAAAATATAACTCTGTTCTTCCCCCTTTCCCCAAGGGGAAGTCTAGAGGGAAGAGCTACTTTCCACACAGGAAAATCAAAGGAAGAGAATGTGGGAACTGTTAGATGCAACATTTGGTATTGTCATAAGACAGAGGAAAGGACCAAGGAATCACCAAGGATTTGTGAAATGCCCATCCAGTAGTCTTGCAAATTGTTCCATGTTTAGATGTAAAAGTCTCAACCTCCAGGAAGAGATTGAATAGTTACGATAGTAGCTAAGTTACTGCTCCTGCTAATTGTTTTAAATCTTTTAAAAAATATACTTCTGAAATTACTTTTTATTTAGCATTCCTTCTGTGTGAAGGAAATAAATAGCTGTCCCTTACCTGATTTTCATTGCACATTGAGTACCTTTCTACTTTCTCCTCCTTGGGGAAACCAAAAGACATGATCTAAATCCAAACTTCAAGTAATTTTCCCTTGGGCTATGAGAATGGAGTGTAAAGAGCCAAAGAGCCCAAGAAAAGGAGCCTAACACATTTCTTTATAAGTCAGGCTCCTCTGGGACTGATCCTGGTCAGTGTGTATGGAAGGTAAGAGCCAAGAGGTGCCCCTTCATGAAGAGAAAGAAGTTGCAGTGCTCCATCCTCCTGTGCCTAACAGTGGTTCTTACTGTTAAACTTAAAGCACAACATACTCATAAGAGTGTGCTGACAAAAAAAAAATGCAATATGTGATACAGCAACCCATAACTCCTATTATATTCCCCCAGTATACCAATAAACCAATAAAACCTTACACCAATAAAACCTTACACCAATAAAACAGGAATCACTTAGCAAGACTGTTGAAGCCATATCACCTTCACCTTAGCTCTGTGCTGTCTGAATTGCTCCCTTAAGGTTCATATCTTCTAGCAAGCCAGAGCACAATTTGGGCTCATTGTCCTGTCAGTAGTTACCATGTCAAGAAGGGTGTAGTTCCAGAAGTCTCCTCCAGGTGCCAGTCAATAACAACTGAGGAACACAGAAACTCCCATACTCTTTAGGTAGCCATGAAGTTTAAGAAGTTCATCTCTCAGGAACATTGTTTAGCCACTTGTGCTTAAGGAAAGAAACAGAAGAGGTAACCAGGGGCCCAAGTTCCAGGCTCAGGCTCTCCTAGATCAGTATATGTGTTCTTGCTGTCATGTTCAGGCAACCACCATAGATAGTTAAAGGGCAAAAGGAGCCCTATTTTCCTGAAGGAAGTCCAAGGGAGTCTTGCAGAGTCCTCACATACTCAGCAGATGGGAGAGGAGAGAAAACCAAAGGATAGATTTACTCCTTTTAAGATCAGCTGAGTTGGCCTCTCTTCCCTGCTCAGCAGCCAATCTCTTTGAGAAGAGGACCACCAACTAGAAGCTTTTCATTGCATATAACTCTTAGCAAGGGGCCCCCAAATCCTGTCCTATCTCCCCCAAGACCAAAGCACATACTCCAGTGGAATTCTCTCTACTACATAAAACTGAGGCTTGGCAGAAAAAAAAAAAGAAAGGTTGGTGCAAGATCTATGAAGACAATGGCATACAAATCAGTTAGAAGAGGGAGCTCAAACCTGGTACTTTTTAGAAGGTTTATCTCATGAAAGGCAGAAAGATAATAAAGAACAAACAAACAAACAAAAAGGAACAGGCCACAAAGTAAAAAATAAAATTCAAAATAGAGTTAAGGGGAAGAGGAATAATGAAGAGAATGAAGCAAAGAAAAACTTCTTTGAAAAAGGTGCAATAAAAGAAAATGAATAAAAAACAAAAAGGAAGAGGGAAGAGAAGATTTTGAACTACTCATGTGAGTATAAAAAGAGAAATTACAACAGAGGGGTAAAAACAGATAATTAAATTTTTAATTATGTGGAAATGGATTGGTATCAAAGTAGTTGAAACAAAACTAATTACAGGGACAAAGGTATTAACTTTAAAAAGGAAGAGAATCAAAAAGAAAAATAACACCAAAGAAACAAAAGAAAGAAAACACAATCCTAATACTCATAACTTTACTTATTAATGGAATAAATAACACAATAAAACAAAACAAAACCCAACGATTAGTCATTTACAAGTCTAGTCTTTTTTTGTGTGATGGACCCTTACCCTTTTTTTTATTTTTGTGTTTGTTGTTATTGGTGTTGTTTTGGGTTTTTGGGTTTTTTTTCCCTTAACCTTTTTTTTGTTTAATGGACCCCTTTGAGAGTCTGATGAAGCCTATAGACTTCTTCTCAGAATAATTTTTAAACGCATAAAATAAGATACAAAGAATGACAAAGGAAACCAATTGTATTGAAATATAATTATACTTTTTTTAAAAAAAAAAACAAGTTAACAAACCTCAGGTTAAGAACCCCTGCTCTAGAGTTAACCTCCCAACTCCCATTTGGACTAGAAGCTAGGTTCCCAGAGCAACACTGTCCTGGTATTCTAGAGGTAGCCCTGAGGGGTTGGAGGCTTCTTTCTAAAGTTCTATGCTTCCTCTCCATGATTTTCAATTGATATCAATTAGTCAGCCAGAATTAATTAGCTTTTAGAAATGGATACTTACAATAGCGGTAGAGTTAGTACAAAATAATCCCCCCAAAAGTCTGTGACAGACTCTCCTGCAAGTACATAGAATTTGAAGCAAGCTTGGACTTAGACCACATATAGCAAAGAGGGTAACTCATAGCTACCAGGAGTCCTTTTGCTGGAGTCCTCAAGACAATCTCCCTTAGATTCAGTGTAGCATTTCTTCTGGGCTCCTTACGGAGCTTTGAATCTGTCTTTCCTCAACAAATCTAATCTATCTTGGCTCCTATTGCAGACATTGCTGTCATCTGTCGCTGTCCCAGGTACATTGCTGAGTCTTCAATGAAAAAGTCCAAACTCAGTCCTCTGAATTTCTTGAAGTCCTCCTCAGCCAAAGCAGAAGAGGAGAGACCCTGACCAAGGATGAACCTGAGCCAGAGCTCTTCTCTCTGCTCCCCAAGAAATTTCTCCTCAGCGGCTTAGCTAGAAGAATTCCACCCTAAGCTACAAGGCATTTGAATCCTGAATTCCAAGCTTGCTCACTGATTTTATACCAGTATCACAGGACACAACCAATCAGAATAGACTTCCTATTGTGCCTAGTTGAAATGCCAGAGGTGTCTAGGGCTGGTTCATAACTAGTGAACAATTAAGATGTGCTCTCACCTGTTAAAGTTTGTCAGGGCTAGGTGGGAAATGAAGAGAGGACTGGCCTGGGTGCCCTCTTTAAATGGAAGTTCTGGGAAGAATTCTCTACTTTCCAAGCAGAGGGGCCCCAGAAACGGAGGCTCTGAGGCAGGATAAAGAGATTTCTGGATCATGATGGAGAAGTTTAAAGGAATATAGCCAGAAGGGAACAGATGAAACACATCTCCCCCTCATTAGAGAGGCAGGAGACTAATGGAGGGAAAATGTTACATATACCATCAGATGAGGTGGTTTTGTGGATTGGTTTTGCTTAGCTGGTTTGTTGTTGTTGTTATTATTGTTGTTAGAAGGGAGGACTCCATGGCAGAGCATATATCAGGAAGTGACTGTGGTATAAAAACAAAGAACAGCAATAAAACTTTAAAAAATTAAAATAAATACATTTTTAAAAGTGTAAAATGGTTGTTCATGTAGCAAAGGCTGTGTCTATGTGGCTTGAAGAGCAGCAAGAGTAGACATTTCCTCCCCCCCACACACACACTACAAGAGAGATTTTTATTCCTGTCAAGAGGGGAAACAAGAGGTTGGGGCCAGACATCAGCATTTTGTTCTCCTCAGAGAGAAGGGGTACCAGACTAGGAGTATATCTGTCTTCTCCTGACTAATATGTTATTAGTCCAGCAGATATCATTTTTAGGGTTCAAGCTAAACTCTTGATCACCATTAACAGGAAAAGGGAGGCCCCAAGCTTTACATCCAAAGGTTGCTTCTCTTCCCATCATTCCACAATGTACACGTGTAGCAGATAACAAAGAAACCCATTGCAAAACAGAAATCAGAAAAAGTATACATTTGAGAATATATACCAGACAACACAGATTAAAGGATACTCCCATTGTGAGTAAGGTAACAGCTCAACTGAGAGAGAGAGAGAGAGAGAGAGAGAGAGAGAGAGAGAGAGAGAGTCAGTCTCAGATCTTAATCAAAGAGAAATTCCCTGAAGTCTCTAGTGTAGAAAATTGAAAATAAAAATAGCTTCTTCCCAGAGTCTTTCTCCTTTCATGGCCCTTAAGAGAGGTTGGAATCTATGTATCTTCTCTCTTAATGCTGGAAGCTAGAAGAATCCAAAGACAGTGAAGGGAGTTGATCTCTCTCTTCTCTCTAGCTCTCATCAGCTCCACCCTCCCCTCCTGCAGGTTCTGGGCATTGATCTCCACCAATGAGGAGAGATTTCCATACCAAGAAGATCTACCTAGACTCAAGCCCTACAGAAGGTCTGTTTTTCAATAAATTCAGTTAGAAGAGGGAGAAGTTCCTCAGTCTCTCAAGAACGTAACCCTTGTGTCCAAAGTTCTCATGTAACATGAGGCGCCTATGTATTCTTTAGAGGATTTCTCACCACTCTCACTGTTAGTCCCAATCCACAAAATCAAGAAACTCAAGGTATGATACCACTCATGATGCAATACACACTGCAAATCCTGAATTACTCAGATACTCAAATGGGAGGGAACAAAGGAGGGAAGGAAGCATTTACCAAGTGCCTACTATGTGCTTGGCATTTTGCTAAATGCTTTACAAATATCATCTCATTTGATCCTCACAACAAGCCTGGGAAAGAAGTGCTATTATTATCCCCCATTTTATAGTTGAGGAAACTGAGGCAGACAGAGGGCAAGTTTCTTGCCCAGGATCACATAGCTAAGAAATGTCTGAGGCTGGCTTTGAACGCAGGTCTTCCTGACTCTATTGAGTCTTCTAGTGAAGGATCTGTGGGTCTGTGATCTAATCAATTTGGGAGTTCCTTCTATCAATGCAGGCCATAACCTATCTATGTTTGCTCCTCCTTTGGGATTCTTGTCCATATTCTCCCAAAAGGTCACCAGAGGAAGTCCATTTAACATGCTAAAGACCTTCCTCACTTTCTCCTGACATTTTGAGAGTGCCAGTGGAACACTCTGGTTATCTACGTGTCATCTCTTGCTCTTGCCCCACAAACACACCATCTTCTCTTTCTCCCTTTTTTTTTGTTGTTGTTGTTGTTTTTTTTTGTCTAGGCAATGGGGTTATGTGACTTGTCCAGGGTCACACAGCTAGTAAATGTTATGTGTCTGAGGCCGGATTTGAACTCAGGTCCTCCTGATTCCAAGGCCAGTGCTCTATCCACTGCACCACCTAGCTGCCCTTATCTTCTCTTTCTGTCACACAACTCCACAGTGACATCCTTTTCTCCTCTTCTTTTTCAGACCCTTATGGATTAAATGTTGTAGCCCACTCACACCTACCACAGGCTTCTTTGTTGCCCTCTGAGTATACTTATCTTTAGTTCTTTGAAGGCATTGGTGTTCCATGTCTTGCTCCCATATAACAACAGCTAAAATGCTGGCACTGAAAAAACAGGCCTTTGCTTTTATCAGATGCTTGAGGTCGGTAAAAGAGCTTTGCAAATTTCCCCAAAGCAATCTAACCTGCTTTCTTCCTTTTCAACTCTGGGTCCAGCTCACTGACCATCAGTGCCATCTAGCCCAGACTACAAGTCTGGAAGTTGTTCATCCAAATGCATGGAGGAATCTGGGCAGTAGACATTGTCAGATGAAGGGTATGGACTAGATATCTTCTAAAATGGTTATCAGATCTAAATCTATGAGCTAAGAAGAAAGCAAAATAAAACTCACGAGAGAACTCATTGAAAATAAAGATACCCTCCAATGAGCAACCATCTTCCCGGAGACCTATGTAATATCTGTCACTTATAATTACACTTTAGTGACACTCCCAGCAGGTGTTATCATCTCCTGCAGTTCATAGAGTCCTGCTCAGTTTCCTTTTGTAGTTCAGTGTTTATTGACTATTGACTTACTGACTGTTGCTACAGCTCCCAGAAGATGGTATCTGATGTGATTTACCACCAATACCACCATGCTAATTCTGCACTGTGCCAATTTAGGTGATCTCTGGGGTCAACACTATTCTTCTGGAACTTCAGGTGTCATTAGCCCTATGCCACATAAAATCCTTTTCTGGAAAATGGTAAATGTTGGAGAGGATGTGGGAAAATTGGGACACTAACGCACTGTTGGTGAAGTTGTGAATTGATCCAATCATTCTGGAGAGCAATTTGGAACTATCACAAAGGGCTATAAAACAGCATACCCTTTGATCCAGCAATACCACTGCTAGGTCTGTATCCCAGAGATCACAAAAATGGAAAAAGGACCCACGTGTACGAAAATATTTATAGCAGCTCTTCTTGAGGTGGCCAAAAATTGGAAATTGAGGGGATGTCCATCAATTGGGGAATGGCTGAATAAGCTGTGGTATATGAATGTAATGGAATGCTATTGTGCAATCAGAAATGATAACCAGGTAGATTTCAGAAAAACCTGGAAAGAGTTATATGAACTGATGCTGAGTGAAGTGAGCAGAACCAGGAGAATGTTGTACACAGTAACAGCCATGTTGTGTGATGACTAATTTTGATAGACTTAGCCTTTCTCTGCAGTGCAAGGATCTAAGACATCTCCAAAAGTTTCATGATGTGGGGCAACTAGGTGGTAGAATGGATAGAGCTCCAGCCTTGGAGTCAAGAGGACCTGAATTCAAATCTGGCCTCAGACACTTGATACTTATTAGCTGCGTGACCCTGGGCAAGTCATTTAACCCCGATTGCCTCACCAAAAAAAAAAAAAATCTCATGATGGAAAATGCTATCCACATCTGAAGAAAGAACTATGGAGTTTGAATGCTATTTGCCTTTTTTTCCCTTTCGTTTTGTTCCCTCTTTCTTATGGTTCCTCCTATTGGTTCTAATTCTTCCTTACAACATGACTAATGTGAAAATATGTTTAATAGAAATGTATATGTATAGCCTATATCAGATTGCATGCCATCTTGGGGAGGGGGGGGAGGGAGGTGGAAAAAAAATTTCAAACTCAAAAGCTTATGGAAGTGATTGCTGATAAATCAAAATAAATTAATAAAAAAAATTTAAAAACATAGCTCAGGAGTTTTCTCTGGTGACCCAGAGGACACAATTAATTCAGAGCAAAGGCACTTAATGAAAGAAAATGGTAAGAAAAGATGTGATAGAGCATTTCCCCTATAAATTCACAGGTTGGTAAGGAGAAGGAGAGAAGAGAAAGCTCACATCAGTCAACAATCATTCATTTAATGATTACTATATGTCAGGTACTGTGCTAAGTGAAGAAATTACCACAAGTATTCTGATAACTGTAGGATAAGGGTTTTTTTTTATTAATACCTATTCTATATGGAAAAGACTCACCAAAGAAACTAAGAAGTTCTGGAGAGCAAGAAATTTCCTAATGATGGCTAACCAAAGCAAAGTTTTTATTATCTTGGAGAAATAAAATCAAGGGATAAGGGGTATAATACAGGAAGCGCACAGTACAGATTAATGAATCAATAGAATAGCTTATAAAATTAATGGACATATTCAAAGATGAGCTTTTGAGGCTTTGCAAGCCCTGTAGGAGTCCCCAAACTATTCAAAGAAAGGTAAAATGTTGATCAATAATGAATTATTAAAAATTACACAAGTAAATGGTATGAGCCTTTCAAACACCCTACCTGAAAGCAGAGCTTTCCCAGAGTCCTCCAAGGCTACCATTCCTTTGAACTAATGCTAAGATAGATGCACAATTACAAAGGAGCGCATAATATAATAGGCCTAGAGTCCTGAGCCCACAGTATTGAACAATTTCCATGTTCTCTAAAGTATGAGTCAGTGTCTTCAGATGAGACGGTGGAGGCAGTGGTGTGGGAGACCTGAGGAGAGAAGAGAGAATTCAGAACAGTCTCTTTGAGGAGTGGGAGAGAGAACCAGTTAGAGAGGGGTAAAAGGACTGCTTTGCTTCAACGAGGTTCTGGTGGAAACCTGTCTCCCTACAGAGTATCAGCTTCCCAGGGATCAGAGAAGGGCTGCATAGAACAAAGGTCAGAATGCGGCAACTTCACCAACGGGAGCTGACGTGTGAGGGCAGAGGAGGGAGAAAAAGGGAGAGGATTGAGGAGAAACTGAGGAAAACATTTAAAAAGACTGGTGATTAGGTATCCTTGCTCACCTTCTCCTCTGTACAGTTATCCCTTCCACAACGAGACTTTCCCCATTGAGCTTTTGATACAACCCCGATCGGCATAAGAAATTAAATGGGAATTTGGGGGGAGTTTTGCAAAGCCACAGATGACAGAAGGCCAGCAGTCAACACAGAGCCTATGACCAAATACCTAAACCAAATTTTACAATAAGGTACTGTAATAGAAACCCCATAAAAGAAAAAGAAAAAATTCTGGCCTCTTCTCTGGTATGAAAGGAGGGCCAAAATGTTTTACATGAAATTTCCAAATGACAGGAGTGTCCCTTACCTTCTGCCATATGGAAG